TAAAACTTTCAATATTAAAGGGAAAATCCAACATTTAAAAATAACAGATGGCTATGTAGTGAATACAGAGCTGTATTTCAGTCTTGGGGCTTTGTGGCAATTCAGAAGCCACTTGAGTTACATGCTCATGGTTAATAAAATCAGCAGAGCCACTCCAGTTAATTACAGCATTCTATTTGTTCTGTAGTTTCTTATCTTCAAGTTCCAGTAAGAAATGGATAAGACATAATCCCTCCATAATGCCCTTTTTTTTCAAAAAAAAAAACAAAGGAAAAACCACCACAAAACTTCACAGCTGTAGACAAAATGTAAGTTCTGTTATGAAGAGATACACTTTAATGTGTCTTTCACAGAGCAGCTTAATTGACAGTAATTCCAGACTGACCAGATAACAAACATTATATTGCTTCTCATAGAGGGCTAGTGAAATAGAGTACTGCCTTCTGCCTGGGGGAGGAAATGGGAGCTGTAATGAGTATGTAGAAAGAGCTATTAAGGAACATGGAGCTGTCTCCAGTTTCTTTTAGTTTTTCATCCTGATATCACTTCATTCTCTATTTGTTGCCCTTCCCCCTCCCCCCCCCCATGTTTTCTGAAGAAAATGTGTAGCCAAATAGAATAGTCTGTTTTCTTGATGAAATAATTGAGGCAATGTAAAATAAATTCACCACACCAAGAAAATCTGGAGAAGTTTGAGCCCTTTTTGCAAGGAAGACTATAAATTATTGACTTGCCCTTTTTCTTTTTAATGAAAATACTAAGCTCTTGTTAGTACAGCTTCATTTCAGAAGAGATAAAACCAATGACTAAAAAACGGAATTATTACATCCCCCTCAAAAGCCTGTCCACTCTTGGCTCCATACCCCTTACAGGCAATGGATCAGCAGGAGTTTTCCTTTTGTTTCGCTTAGTCAGGTCTGGACCAAGGTCTTCTTAAATTGCAAATTCATAAGGCAGAGGAGAATGGCAGACCTATATACCCATGGATCAGGGACTTGATAGGGGAGGTATGTGGATTGATCTAGGAAACAGCATTTAGGAAATACATCACGAGGATTGCTTTATTCCTCTATTTTTTTTCCCCCTTAAACAGGGTGTGTCTCTAGTTGAGAGCTCCTTCTCACTGTGCCTTACAGAGCAGCAAAAGCCCCCGTCTTGCTCTTAGTTCTCCTTCCAGATAACAAAATGGTGTGCATGAAGCGTTTGGGCTATTTCTGAGCAAAATTTGTGCAATGAATTTCTCTCTCTGCATAGTAGTACTGGCCTTTCTACAGTGAATTTGGCTAGGTTGTGAAATAATTCCTTGGCATAATGGATGAATATTTCAAAAGCCTAGACTGATCACAGGAACCATTCTACTTTACACACTAATAAAGGCAAATCTCACTTCCAGCACCTTACAAAACTACAGGAGGCATATTTGTGATTCTTTGAAAAGGAAACCCTGTGACAAATGTAAATAATTCACAAATGCTAAAACGTCTACTTCATCTAAATAATATTTTAAAGTGTGGCTGTATTTTCCATTAAAGCTTGTTTTAAAATGGTAAATTAATGTTATAGATGACTTCTAATTCATTAAAATTTGTAGAGTTCTATAACTGATGCTGGAAATCTTTGTATAGTAAAACCTACTGTGTGTTGAAGCTGGCAACTTCTACCCACAGTTACAGCTGTGGCATTGATGCCTTTGAAGTACTCACAGCTGGGGCAGGAGCTCCTCCCTGCAGACAAAAAAAAAAAAAAAAAAAAAAACCTGCTAGCTTAAAACAGGCTTTAAATTTCGTGCAGCTTAGTTGGAACTTGACTTAAAGATTTGATTTGATTTTCAGTGCAGAAAGCTATTTTTGCATCTGCTTCAAAGGCAAGTGATACCACAACATCTCCAGTCTCAGGTGTAGTTAAAAATCTACTCCGACAGCAAAGGTAAGCCACCAGCTTTAAAACATAGGTTTAAATTCATTTTATTGCTGAGTGTCTGCTACGTGTAAAGACCTTAGCTTAAATTTGAGCCTCTTTCCCATGCAAAATGTCATTTAATCAATGGCAGTGTTTCTAATGTATCCATCGCCTTTCTCTTTGAATATCTCTGCCCACTGCTCAGTGGGAGTTTTTTCTAGAACAAGCAGAAAGTGAGCTCTCTGGGTTCAGACTCCTTGGTGCAAACCAGCAGGGCTTTCTGCTGAGCTGCCCCTACCTGAGAGCACTTCAAAGGAGGAGCCGCAGCAGGAGCCCGAGCTGAAACCGAAAGCACTGTGTTTTATCTAGCATGGGGGGTTTCAAGAGTCCTCAGCCTCGAGGGCAACTTGTTCATTTAAAAAACATGTTTTTAAAGTGGTGTGTTATATGGCTGCTGTAAGACCTTGAAGAGGGTAGTTGTAGCCACATACAGTTTTCGATATGCTTCTTTCCTTCTGGTCAGCTTTATGAGAAAACAAAATAGAAAAAGGAATGAGCCTGCTCTTGCAGGAGTGATGTAATCCCTATTTTGATGCTGCACTCACAGAACAAGAGAATGTGGAAAAGTAAACTGCAAGGGTTGCTCGTTCTTTTTAGTGTTCTTTTATTATGTACAAAGTCAGTGCCATTTTAAACATTGTTCTCCTTCTCAGTATTCCTGTTATTTTTCATTGAGTTATGCCTTTACTGCTTAGGCCAGATGATGCTGCAGTGTGGTTTGAAGAGATTTGGGAATGTCTGCTTGAGGATGAAGGAGTATGCTGACTTTAACATAGCTTAAGCTCATGGACTTAAAGGTGTTAACGTATTTACTTTTCATTGATTTCCACATTAGAGGAAATACATGGATTCATTTTTCTTCAGTTAGGAAGGAAACACTTATGCATCTCTTTCAGGATTTTGTATTACATTTTTATTTTTTTTATGTTATTATACTGACTATAACTCTGATACTACCAGTACTAAATGACTTTATACACATTTTTTTTTTCCACAGAAATATCCTGATCAGATTCACAGGCCCATGCTTCACTGCTTGTGGATCTAGCAAATACAGCAGTTTATTTAGTGATTACTGAATTCCTGAATTTATAGAACACTATAAGTCAAGGTTCAAATTCATATTTTGTCATAATTTGGGATATTTTTAAAAATGCTTTCAAGATGATATGCTTGCATAGTGCATCAGTCCTGCAACTGATCAGTCAGCCTCAAGAAGACAGTTAACCTAAAGTGGTGAGCTAAATACCTGAATAATTAGCAATAACAGCTATAGCAAAGTATAGGTCTGATAGGTCTAGCAAAACGTCAGAAACTATTCTTTATTTTCCAAATTAGACGTGCCCCTTCCTGATCCTAAACCTAGCTTCTTCTGAAAGTCTAACTCCCTTTAACTTGCATTGTATTTTCTGTGAAAGCTCAGAAAATAGGTACTTCTGAAGACTTCCCATTTAGGTAAGAGTGAGCTCTGAAAAGGGAAAGAATCTCCTTTCTCCCAGCTGAACAAGAACACTGCAAGTGACACCTAGGTATCATTTGTCAGACGGTTAGAACTGATACCAACTGTCACACAAATTCTCTCTTACAGTGCTAGTGGGGGAAAAAAAAAAAAAAAAAAAAAATCAGAGCTCCCAGCCATAACATGGATTTGTTGTAAGCTATGTTCATACACACTTGCAAGTTCAACTCACCCCCCATGGTTGTGTGCATTTGTACACAGAGAGATTTCAGCCCAGGTGAACCTAATAAAGCTAGCTTTAACTCCAGATCTGCAGTGTCCAGGTGAGTAGTTTTGAATAATGAGCTGCTTTGGGTGCGTTACTACCAGTTGTCAGCTGTGAGTAGTTTCAGCTAATTTCTTTACTAAATCGACTTACAGAGTGTTTCTGCAGTAACTGTTTCTGGTGTCTGGAGTGCTTAAAGACCAAAAGAAACCTCAAAAAGACAACTCCCTGAATTTTCAAGTTCAGATTCTCTAATGAAAATCAGCTTTACAAGCAGGAAACATGAAATTGGCTGCTGGGGAGCTCAGAGGGCTTTTGAACTGTAGCTTGTGCTCAGTCCAGTTCAGTGAACTCCAGGGATCCCTTGGTCTTTGTGGAAAACTTGAGGTGATTCTGGATGGTGTAACACAGCCTGAACAAAGGAAAAGCAGCCACACCCTGAAAAAGCCTCTTGCTGCTGCTGATTAGTAATTTTATTACCCGTGGAAAAATTCTTGACTTCAGGTTTTTTTAAACATCCTTGTAGATCAATCCATTAACATGTAATTCTGGAACTGCTCTGAAAAAAGTTTTATCCTCAAATATTCCTGTTTAAAAGAGACATGGAAGGTAGTGTTTCCAGTGAAGGACATCACAGTGGGGTTTGGGAAGCCTGCACTGCATGCTGGGGTGTGTTTTGGAGTTTGCACGTGATTTGAGATAAATGATTCTGGCCATGCATTCAGTGCATTTAACTGGCTTCAGAACCAAGCTTAGACTTTGGCTATTCACAGTTACTGCCAGATCTTCCAATGAGCTAATTCCAGGATGCTGTAGCTACTTTTCCAAGGTTTAGGAAGATCCTTCAGTTTATCTATCTCCTGAGATCTGTGGAAGCTGTATATGTGCAGTTTGTGCTGTCTTCACTGCTTCCCTGCATTCCATCAGCACTGGCATAGCACTGTGTCACCAGTGCCAGGCTGATGGCTCTGCAGCCTCCTAAAAAAAAATCCAAGAAATGCTCTGCCAGAATGATGGGTGCGTTTTATATACTCAAAATGTGCAAACTCATAGAGGCAAATGTAATGAGGTTAAGGACACTCTTGAGAAATTCTCTGTGAGGAGTGATTTTTAGATCTAGGAGGTGATGCAGGTGATGACAGTTTCAGAAAGGACCCAGGTGGAAGGCAGGGACAGATTACACAAGCTGCACAAAGGCATACTCCCTGTAACTGTTACAAGCAAGAAGTGTAGAAGTGAAACATAATAACATCAATAATAAAATGTGGTAACTACTAAGTACAGAGAGGCTGGCAAACATTCAAGTACAATACTTACTCTGTGTTCATAATTCCTGATTTGTGGAAATGCAAATCTTGTAAGACTGCAATAAGAAAAGGAAATGTAGAATCTTACAAACCTGTATGTATGCATTTCTTTTTCTTTCTTTTTTTTTTTTTTTTTTTCCTTCTTCCCCCCCCCCCCCCCCCCCCCCCCCCCAAGCTAGAAAGGAACCTAAAATCACAGAATCGCAGGGGTTGGAAGGGACCTCCAGAGATCATCAAGTCCAACTCCCCTGCCAAAGCAGGTTCCCTACACCAGGTCACACAAGTGGGTGTCATCTATTCTGAAGAGAAAATGTTTCACTTCTGGCAGGAGTAGCATTTGTCAAAGATGTAACTATGAACAGCATCAGAAAGTGTATAGCGTGGCCATGTTTTTTAAAATAATGAAATCTCACTGTACCTGAACAGGCTTTGATTCATGTGCACATTGTTCTGTTGCTGCCCTCTGCATGTTCAGGAATTGAATTTATACATAAAGATCTGTATTCTGATGAGAATTTGAAGTGAAATTTTAGTGCTACAAGCTAAGAATCCAGTTTGAAGAGGCCCTGTCAAGACTATATCTAGTTGTCAAGGGTCTCTGAAGCTCCATGGTCCCAAATGAAGGAATGAAAATACGTGCATACATACTTCTTAACGTTCAGGGTGTGGGTTTTTTCCTTTTATTTCCAGTTTTGTTGGAGGCACATACAACTCCAAAAGCTGTATTAGAATTCTCAATTATTTTATTGCTAGATCTTCTATACTAATTACTCAGTTGGTTTTCCACTCATCTCTGACTTATATCTCATAGAATCACAAGGTTGGAAATGACCTTCAAGATCATTTTGTCTGACTGTCCTCCCATTACCATTGCTACCACAAGCCACTGAACCATCTCCTAAGAGAACCCTTAGTAGTCCCAAAATTTGGACATAAAATATATATACCTTTTCTATTTACTCTATCATAGTCTACTACCATTACTTTCTCTCGCTTAATAACTGTAAGGAGAGTGAAAAAAGTCGTATTTTCTTCTCTCCTCACGTGCAGCTACTTGTCAAATGAGAAGGCCTTGCAACCTTATGCAACAAACATCTTCTAAGCCTTCTACTGTCTTTAATTCATATTACTATTTCAGGTAGGCCTTCAAGCTCATCTCAAAAGCTCCAGAGTTTTCTATTGAAAAAAGTGCGCACTTTGAGCACAGTTTAAAATATGTTGCACCTATTGTAGCTATTGATGAATGTCACCTGTATTGAGCCACGATTTTTTATTTTCTTGAGTTAATTTTACCTTGATGCTTTCCTATGTTGATGATTTCATTCAATGTTTGTAGAATTCTTAGTAGATTTCTATGGCAGGTTGTTCCTTACTTGAAACTGTGTTTGTGGGGGCCAAAATAGGCAGTGCTAGCTTGTAATTTACAATAGAAGTAGGTGGACATCTGATAGACAAAAATGATTCCTTAACTACTTTGAAAAATTGAGATTATAGTAATCCTGAAAGATGTGGCTTTCTTTTTTAAAGAGAAGAAAAAAGCTTTTGACTAAATGTCTACTTCTTAAAAAGCTTATCAGAGAGTTAACTTCTGTCACGGAGTAACAAAAACCTTAAATATTGGCTATTATGCTTCAGATATCTCAAAAGTGCTAAATAGTTGGAAGAAAGCTGTCTAGAGCTATAAGGTAGCATAAGTCAAGTTGTAAATGTGAAGCAACTCCAACAATCACTAGTTACTCAAAATCTTGCAAATCAGAGGATTGTTACTGCGTATATAAGTATTAAATTTCTAACTTTATTTTCTGCATTTTTGTGCAGATTGATGCTTAAAAGTACAAGGCCTAAAATAAAGGGAGCACAGTATGAGTAAACTTGCATGGGGAAAAAAGGCAAATCAAACAAATCTTGCAATTATTCTAGGGACTATTTTGAGTGTACTGAGAGACTGAGGTTGTCAATAGTGGGTCTGTGAAACGAAGTAGGGAGGAAATTTCAAACAGACTGACATTCAACTGAGGAAGATGAACACTAAATCCAGTGCTAATAACAACATAGCTGAACGATGTGATAATTGATCACCTAATTCCTTATTTCTTCTAACTAAACCTGGCTAGAAATCACCTACAGCAGGGATGGAACGCTACTCAAAAATTTCCCGATGTGACCATTTTGAGGAGCCACTCCTTTGACAACCTAAACCTCACCTGCTGGTTTTGGCTTCCACCTTCACTGTGGTATGGGCAGCTTTGGAAATAAATATCTTGGAATAAGTACGGGACAATTTATCAGACATTTCTGTTATAGCTAATTCCAAAATGTAATCTTTTCAGTACAAACAATGCAAATTATAAATATCTATTTCTTATAATGAAAGTGAAGTCCAGTTAATCTATTTTCCCACAAGATAAGTTTGGATTGGATGCTTCTGGTCAGTTAATCACAAACAAAGAATATAAAGACTCAAAGCCACCAGGAGTTTATTAAAAGCGTAAGCTAATGATAATGAGAAAATGAGGTTTCATGTACTCTGTGGGGAAGAAAAAGACAGTCAACTTATGAAATATGGTTAAAAAGCCACTGAAGTACTCATATTTGCTGGGAACAATGAAAATTGATCAGAACTTTCAAATACTGTTGCTTAAATGAAATTTCAAACATTCTCCGGAAGCAAGAATGTAAGAAATGTGTACCCTTACTTTTGTGCACAAAATATGGCAGATTTCCTGGGGCTTTTACTTTCAGATTGAGTGCACAGCCCAAGCAGATTTCTGGCATCTCCAGGAAATTTCATGGATTGTCTGTCCAAACAGAGTAGGATGGAAAAAACCTCATGATGTAGTGTCATTGGAATCACCTGGTATCTTAATGTGAGCAGAGATCTTGCTTAAGAAGAGTAGTCTATTCTTGTGAACAGTTAGTGCTGATTTGTCTTACAAACAACTTACTACTTAGTACTTGGAAGTTTTTATACAGGGCATCTAAAGTAAAGCAATCAAAACAAAGCCATCTCCAAAACGAATGAACTATACGTGGTATCAATGCAAAAAATTGATTACTTCTTTTCCAATCAAGCATTGGTTACCATGTAAGTAATTTGCCCCTGAAAAAACAAAAAACAAACAAACAAAAAAAAACAAACAAAAAAACAGATTTGAAGATGTAGCTTACAGCACAGCCTGATTCTTCATCAGGTACTACAGGAGGAAGAACTGAGGAATTTGCTATTCAGTTGTGTAAAAAACTAATGAACTTAACCAACTTTTATATCAGTTCTTATAGCTAAAAATGTCTATAAGGAGGCAGGTCCTCATTCAGTGACTGTGATACTATTGCATAAAACTTGTACTGCTTATTCTCTCTCCCTCAGCCACCTGTATTCTCATAATAAAATTGTGATTACTTTTAACTGAAATGGATGAATTTCACTGCATGTGTGATTCAGAAAATCAATTATAAAGCTACAAGTAAGGTATATGAAATGTTGGTAGATTAATTTTCATGCTGCCAGTATTCTGTGCTATTTCCTTCTGAACTTTGCAGTACCTGGCCTCCTATAGCAAAAACAGTGGGGTATGGTGGTGGGACCTGAAAGAGTTGTATTACAAGCATGTGTGAAAGTATTGTCAGATGGCGTTGCCAAGATTATTTTCAGCATCTGTCTTCACAACAACAGAAAACAGTTACATGTGGCAGGAAGAACTTAATTATCTGATTTAAATGAATACAATCTGATTTCACTAATCTTTTTCTGGCGATAATTAGCACGTTGTTCAATTTATTTTAGTAGCAGATTAGTTTGATTCTATCCCTTGCCAGAAATGCAACCAGATGCTTTGTAGTAACAATATCTCTAATAGGAGCCACCAATGTTCTCTATAGAGACAATTAGAAAGCTATTAATACCTATTTATTAAGTGGAAAGTAATACTACTGTTTTAATATTGTACTTCTAAACAGAATTTAGCATTGCAAAAGTCACATACAGAGAAATTAGTCAAAAAAGGGCCAAATTGTTTGGTAGAGGCTTTTTTAATTTAAGACCGCATTTGGTTTTCATACAAGCATGAGCCAAGAGGCAGCCCAGTGAGGTGGGTTGAAGGGGCTACAAATCATGAAACCAAATGTTTTACATCATAGTAGAAATTACCCTGCTAGAAGAAAAATACACCGATAAATGGGCTAATCCCTTTCTTAAAATCCATTTCTTAAAAGAAATATTTTCAAATCAGAAGAGCATAGGAAGAAACAAAGGCAACTCACAGCTGCTTTCCTTTGGGCTCGAGCTAGCAAAATGCTGAGATGGTTGCCGTTATAAAGAAATTTTTCACCATTGCTAGATGCTTCACAAAGCTATCTGGAGGTCAATGATAGTCTCAAGTTGATAAAATGCAAGTGGTCTCTGTATTCTGCTGCTGTTTGGAGTTTCCTGTGGATGGCTAGCACACAAAGGCACCAATCAGCACTATGAGCACCAGTTATCTGCACATCTACCTCAAAGTGAGATAAGACAGCGCATTCTCTTACTCATCTACTTTAACCTGCATTTGATAATTCTGTTTAGTTTCACTGCTGTTTCAAATCTTAGCAAGGAGAAAATAAGTTTCTTCTGATAGACAGCTGCTCAATTTTAATGGGGAAAAAATGATGATTCCTCCCTTTTTTCCTCATTTCTCAAGCTGTTCAAAGAGCTGATAATTTATTTTCAAAATGTGTAACTTTTTTATTATATAATTCTCAAGAGAAAAAATATTTTGGGAACAATGTGCTTATTACACTGGCTTCTTGGGATTTCAGTGGATTTTCATACCTTTATATAGACAACAGTTGTGTAGAATGCAAAGAATGTTTTTCCTTACATTTTAAGGCATAAGACCTATGTCTGCTATTTTAAAAGATATGTCTAGAAGTGTATTTAAGAAAGGATACATATATTTCTATTAAAATTGACACACTGGAAAAAGCATAGAAAAAGTCTTAATATTGATGTGAGAGAAAGCTATAGATCATGAAAATGTCCACACATGCTATAACATAAGCAGTGATG